AACCAAACCAAACCAAACCAAACCAAACCAAACCAAACCAAACCAAAAAAAGAGTAAAATACAAAAAAAGCAAAACAACAACAACAACAAAAAAAAACCCAACCAAACAAAAGCAAACATACAAGTAAAAGAAAACAAGTACAATACAAAGTAGGTTAATGAGAGGGGGTGAAGTAAAAAAAGGGGAAGCAAAGAGGTTACGGGGGTATTATCAGTAGACAACACATTCTTGAGAATGCTCTTCTATAACACAATACCATGTACAATAAATATAACAAATAAAATCATATATATAATCTAAAATTAATTATTAAAAAATTATTAAAAAATATAAGTGATTCTACCTGAGAATCCTAACTGGGGGCGGGGGAACATGAAGACAAAAGTCCTACTAGTCCTACTAGTCCCAGCCAGGCAGGACTAATAAAACAATAACCAGACAAAACCTTTGATCCAAAAATTACCCTGCCCACAAAAATTGCAAGGATAAAGAAGGAACAAAGATTGAGGGAATATCCAACCAATAATTGGCCCAACCTGAGACCTACCTGTTGGTATAATGTTTTTGTGGGATGTATACAATTTACCCTTGTTCATTCAAACACTGATTTCTCTATCCCACTATCTGGTTTCAATCTAAATATTGCATTGTGATGCTTATTCTAAGCATTACCTGTCTCAAGTTTATGTAAACATGTTATCATTCATTCTCTGTATTGCCAATAAAACAACCAGCTAATGCTGAGCAATAGAGAAGATAGGGTGGGACATCCTGGTCCCAAGGGGAAGAGAAAAGAAGAGAGTGGGAGGAAAGGTTGGGAGAGAAATCTCAGAGGAAATGACCTGGAAACACCAGGAGAGATGAACTGGACCTAAGATATGACTAAAAAGCAAGTTAATGTGTGAAATCTGAATGGGAGGAAGCTATGTGGGCTTGGAGGTTTAGGATGGAGTAATCATTGCCCAGCATTGTGCTCTAGGTTAACTAAAGACATCCTACTCTCTGTGTGGTGATTTGGGTATAAAGCTGGTTTAGGAATAACAGCTGTTTAACTAAAAGACAGAATCAATAACAAGTATTAGTAATCATTAGCACCTACCCCACAACAGAGAGCCAGCCCCTGACACTATTAATGATGCTCTGCTCCGCTTGCAGACAGGAGCCTAACTTGACAGGCATCTGGGAGGCTCCAGCCTGCAGCTGATGGACACAGATACTGGGACTTGTAGCTACACATGAAGTGGAGCTCCAGAGGTCCTGTGGAAGTATAGTGGGAAAGATGGAAGGACCTGGGAGGGGACAGGAACCTCACAAGAAGACCAACAGAGACATCTAACTCAGTCCCATGGGGGCTTACAGAAACTGAGACATCAACTAAGGTACATGCATTGTCTGGACCTAGGCCCCTGTACATATGTGGCTGATAGGCAGCTTGGTCTTCATGTGGGTTGCTTAGTCTCAGGGGATGAGGTTATGGTCAGTCCTGATATGACTTGATGTACTGGGGAGGTTGATATGGGAGGGGAACTCCTCTTTTCTGGAGGGAAAGAGGGAGAAGGGGGAAGGAGGGAAAGGGAGACTGAGAGGAGAGGAGAGAGGTGCACCCTTGGAATGTAAAGTAAATAAACTGAAATTTAAAAACAAATATAAAAATAAAATAAAAAGAATGGGAAATAAGTAAGTGAAATAGAAAAGTAAATATTATGCAGTAACTAGTATGTGTATGGAGAAATAGGTACAAAATCATAATGAGGAGTAAACTTGATAGTTTTTCTGATACATGACTTGAAAATACATATTACATTTAAAACTATGTATATCCTTATATTCCCTCATCCCACTTTAATGTTTCTACTCTGCAGGAATAAAAACAACAGTGTATAATGAAATAGATAGATAGATAGATAGATAGATAGATAGATAGATAGATAGATAGATAGATAGATTTTACAGCAATGTATATCATGGGGGAAAAGCTAAAAATAAGGATTTGGGGAGATGGTCCAATAGATAAGAGCCTAACTGCTCTTGGAGAGGTCCTGGATTCGGTTTCCAGCACCTACATGGTAGCTCACAATTGTCTCTTCCTACAGTTTCTGGGGACTTTATGTCTTCTTCTGGCATATAGAAGCTGCAAATATGTATGTGGTTCACAGACATTACATGCAAAAAAAAAACACCCATATATAAAAATAAAATATTAATGATCAATTAAAAAAAAACAAAATAGCTGGAAAC